GAATCGCAGTAGTGGAAAACTACTCGTTACTCACCTCATTTATTTACAAAAGAGGTAATCTTGACGTTCAGATCTACCCATGTGGTATAGGTAAAAAATTTACACTAAGATCATCAAGCAGCGGTGATCGTATAGTGGTCAGTACTCTGCGTTGTGGTCGCAGCAACCCCGGTTCGAATCCGGGTCACGGCAGCATCTGTGAGTTGCCAGTCCCTTCAGCTGGACTTTTAACAGTTGGTAACAACGCCCTCTCGTATGAAATGCAGTTACTCTTGGATTCTGCCAAGTTGTCATACAGGGCTAGTGGCGCAATGGATAACGCGTCTGACTACGAATCAGGAGATTCCAGGTTCGACTCCTGGCTAGCTCGGAGCTTCCTTCAACTTCTCGAAAAATTGTTTTCTTTGAAAAAACAGATTGTGGGAAGAACGGAATCGCAGTAGTGGAAAACTACTCGTTACTCACCTCATTTATTTACAAAAGAGGTAATCTTGACGTTCAGATCTACCCCATGTGGTATAGGTAAAAAATTGACACTAAGATCATCAAGCAGCCGGGATCGTATAGTGGTCAGTACTCTGCGTTGTGGTCGCAGCACCCACGGTTCGAATCCGGGTCACGGCAGCATCTGCTAGTTGCCAGTCCCCTTCAGCTGGACTTTTAACAGTTGGTAACAACGCCCTCTCGTATGAATGCAGTTGCTCTTGGATTCTGCCAAGTTGTCATACAGGGCTAGTGGCGCAATGGATAACGCGTCTGACTACGAATCAGGAGATTCCAGGTTCGACTCCTGGCTAGCTCGGAGCTTCCTTCAACTTCTCGAAAAATTGTTTTCTTTGAAAAAACAGATTGTGGGAAGAACGGAATCGCAGTAGTGGAAAACTACTCGTTACTCACCTCATTTATTTACAAAAGAGGTAATCTTGACGTTCAGATCTACCCATGTGGTATAGGTAAAAAATTGACACTAAGATCATCAAGCAGCTGTGATCGTATAGTGGTCAGTACTCTGCGTTGTGGTCGCAGCAACCCCGGTTCGAATCCGGTTCACGGCAGCATCTGCGAGTTGCCAGTCCCTTCAGCTGGACTTTTAACAGTTGGTAACAACGCCCTCTCGTATGAAATGCAGTTACTCTTGGATTCTGCCAAGTTGTCATACAGGGCTAGTGGCGCAATGGATAACGCGTCTGACTACGAATCAGGAGATTCCAGGTTCGACTCCTGGCTAGCTCGGAACCTTCCTTCAACTTCTTTGGAGTGCTCAGGAAATTTCTACTTGCAAATCGTTTTTCTTTGAAAAAACTGATTGTGAGAAGAATGCAATCGCAGTAGTGAAAACTACTCGTTACTCACGTCATTTATATACAACAGAGGTAAGTTTGACGTTCAGATCTACCCATGTGGTATAGGTAAAAAATTGACACTAAAGTCATCAAGCAGCCGTGATCGTATAGTGGTTAGTACTCTGCGTTGTGGTCGCAGCAACCCCGGGTTGAATCCGGGTCACGGGCAGCATCTGCGAGTTGCCAGTCCCTTCAGCTGTAACTTTTAACAGTTGGTATCAACGCCCTCTCGTATGAAATGCAGTTAACTCTTGGATTCTGCCAAGTTGTCATACAGGGCTAGTGGCGCAATGGATAACGCGTCTGACGGGAATCAGGAGATTCCAGGTTCGACTCCTGGCTAGCTCGGAACCTTCCTTCAACTTCTTTGGAGTGCTCAGGAAATTTCAACTTGCAAATCGTTTTTCTTTGAAAAAACAGATTGTGGGAAGAACGGAATCGCAGTAGTGGAAAACTACTCGTTACTCACCTCATTTATTTACAAAAGAGGTAATCTTGACGTTCAGATCTACCCATGTGGTATAGGTAAAAAATGTACACTAAGATCATCAAGCAGCCGTGATCGTATAGTGGTCAGTACTCTGCGTTGTGGTCACAGCAACCCCGGTTCGAATCCGGGTCACTGCAGCATCTGCGAGTTGCCAGTCCCTTCAGGTGGACAATTTAACAGTTGGTAACAACGCCCTCTCGTATGAAATGCAAATAGCTCTTGGATTCTGCCGAGTTGTCATACAGGGCTATCGGCGCAATGGATAACGCGTCTGAGTACGACTCAGGAGATCCCAGTTTCGTCTCCTGGCTGGCTGGGCACGTTCCTTCACTTTCTAGGTAGGGCTCTGGAAATTTCTCCTGGCAAATTGTTTTTTTTTGAAAAACCTGATTGTGGAAGGAAGGCATTCCCGGTGGTGAAAACTACTCGTTACTCACCTCATTTATTTACAAAAGAGGTAAGTTTGACGTTCAGATCTACCCATGTGGTATAGGTAAAAAATTGACACTAAAGTCATCAAGCAGCCGTGATCGTATAGTGGTTAGTACTCTGCGTTGTGGTCGCAGCAACCCCGGTTCGAATCCGGGTCACGGCAGCATCTGCGAGTTGCCAGTCCCTTCAGCTGGACTTTTAACAGTTGGTAACAACGCCCTCTCGTATGAAATGCAGTTACTCTTGGATTCTGCCAAGTTGTCATACAGGGCTAGTGGCGCAATGGATAACGCGTCTGACTACGAATCAGGAGATTCCAGGTTCGACTCCTGGCTAGCTCGGAACCTTCCTTCAACTTCTTTGGAGTGCTCAGGAAATTTCTACTTGCAAATCGTTTTTCTTTGAAAAAACAGATTGTGAGAAGAATGCAATCGCAGTAGTGAAAACTACTCGTTACTCACCTCATTTATTTACAAAAGAGGTAATCTTGACGTTCAGATCTACCCATGTGGTATAGGTAAAAAATTGACACTAAGATCATCAAGCAGCCGTGATCGTATAGTGGTCAGTACTCTGCGTTGTGGTCGCAGCAACCCCGGTTCGAATCCGGGTCACGGCAGCATCTGCGAGTTGCCAGTCCCTTCAGCTGGACTTTTAACAGTTGGTAACAACGCCCTCTCGTATGAAATGCAGTTGCTCTTGGATTCTGCCAAGTTGTCATAAAGGGCTAGTGGCGCAATGGATAACGCGTCTGACTACGAATCAGGAGATTCCAGGTTCGACTCCTGGCTAGCTCGGAACCTTCCTTCAACTTCTTTGGAGTGCTCAGGAAATTTCTAACTTGCAAAATCCGTTTTTCTTTGAAAAAACAGATTGTGAGAAGAATGCAAATCGCCCAGTAGTTGGAAAACTACTCGTTACTCACCTCATTTATTTACAAAAGAGGTAATCTTGACGTTCAGATCTACCCATGTGGTATAGGTAAAAAATTGACACTAAGATC